TGCTGTTGGTGAGATGCCACAGAGTTACTTTACAAACCTGCCTCTCCTTGCCATCCATTGGAATCTTTCCATCTTTAACTAAAACTCCTCAATAAGTTCAAAAGAGGGACTATATAGCCAGTGGTTCCGGATGAGTAAACAACTGTGAAGTTTGTAAACACCACTGGAAGGAAGGAGAACTGGTGTGAGAAACGTTAAAAATACAGGGTAATGTAACGTATCTCTAACGATCACTGAAAATGTCTTGTTTAGCGTTACCAACCCTTCTAGCAATCAGTAAATTGTCCTACTTTTAGAGGTAGCAGAAAATTAACCTAAAAATTATTATCTAAAGCGCTTGAAACATTACAGAGCCTTTGTTGTTGTTACTGTTTGAGCATGAGCTGGCAGCTGTATGCTAATGAAACGGAGAAAATGAACTAAGGATGTAGTTTCACAGTCTCTTTAAAACAATGTATTGGCTAGGTATTGCCAAAAGGAGCGGGCCCACACTCAGCAACAAGATCCCACCGCTTACTGTGTGCCAGCTCTAGCATTAATCTGACTCCAATCAAGGCAATAAACTAGCATAACACCAAACCAACAATACATACATAAACAATACACAACAGTTTTGCTGGCTTAGCACTCTAAACCAGTTCTTACCTATGTCAGATGACCACTAATGCCAGTATGAAAAGAAGGAATAATGTTACTCCTTTTGGCAGCAGCTTACCACTAGATTTGTTTAGGTCTATTTTAGTACTACAGCTAAGTATAAATGTAGCACATGGATGCAAGAATATTCAAAATTAACCCAGTTAACTTGATTTAAAAAGCAACTGAAATGAACTAGTCTTAATCTAGCACATTCTAACACACTGTTACTGCATAAACCGTGACACACCTTGCTGATACTGGAGCGTCCATTAAGTTTCAGCCTGCGCTAGGAGCCACTTAAACTAAATTTATAACTTACCAACCTAAGAGATATTTAAAACATAAAATATGGGTTCTGACTCAAGCCTAGGATGCACTGTGAACCCAGGCAGTGCCTACACACCTAATACCTCTTGCTACAACTTGCCGAGAATTCCAGAGTTCAATTATTTTGACTACTTAAATTCCAACCGAATATCTAAGGCAATGAGAGAAACTCTGAAATGACCATTCCATAAAAATCTGAATAGCTAGTATAAAACAAAAACTACAGACACATGCTCAAATACAATGTTACTAATGTAAACTTAACCAGCTAATGTTACAGAAGTGATTACTTCTGTCTTAATATAACATAAAGAATATGAACAATAACAAATAGGATGTGAAGAAGATCCGACACAAAACCGTGGACAAGTCTGAAATAATAGCATTACTTGTGAAAAAAATGTCACAAGCCAAGTACGATTGTGTTATGCTCTTCTGTATGTAATTTTAGCTAGTGGCTTTGCTCAAAAACAGAACTTTGAATTTTATTGCTAAGTAATTATTTTGTTCTGAATACCCTTGAGGTATACCCTGAAATCAGAATTGGGAGTCAGGCACAAATTCTGTTTCTGATGTTGCTGGAATTCCCCATAAAATTTCCACAAATGACTGTAACTTTTTAAAGCATTATTTTCTTCAGAGCCTTTATCTCTGTGTATATCTGTATAAAATTTAGAAAACAAGTAACTTTCTCCCTGTAGAACAAATCACTAACAGAATGAGAAAAATACTTAGTCTCTGCATAAAAAGCACCATATTAAAGTATCCGATTACTTTTTCTGTAATATGCACATCTGGTAATTTTTTATTCAAGCCCACTAGTTCCCCAAAGCCTCAAAGTTTAACACCTATGCATCCCTTCCTGTTTTAGAGATATTAAGTTCTGTTCCTCCAAGTTCAGAATAAAAAACATGCTTGTCTTCCGTCTCCATTGGCATATCATCACCCAACCTCACTGTTATGCTCTGGATTATTATACTACCTTACCTCTCCTTTAAGATCTGAACATGTTTCATTCACTTCCTCATGTTTCTGTCTCACACGATGTTTGTCAATCTACATACAAAGGAAAAAGACTGTGTATTTTGTGAATGTTTCTAACCTCTTTTTGGATTCCTGAAATATACTGATCAATAGTAATTGGAGGTGATAAAAAACAGATGCATTTTCTACATTTCTACAGATGCATTTCTGTATTTTCTAGTTAACTCTAACGTATAGGTAGGTATATTTCCCTTTGGAGAGCTGAGTCCAACATCTCCAGTTTAATCATTCAAAACCTAACTTTTCTAGTTTTAGTATAGTCTGGTTTAAAACAACATGAACTTATCAAATGTTCATGTTAATACAAACTCTGCTAATGTCCAAATACCAAGTTTTTTCTTTAACACCCAGCAAATGGATTTACTGCCACCTTTTATTCCTAAATTTGTTAAGCTAGAATTTGCTAAGTCAGAATTTGATTTCACAAAATTTGGACTTCAAGAAAAGCTTTAGTTTTTCTAAAATTGATCAAGTGAGCTCAGATATCAAGAAGTCTTTTTTCTAGTGACATTTTAATTTCTCTTGTCCCTGCTTATTCCATTTCCTACTTTATTCTCTTTATTAGTTTATGTATAGTGTTGCCTTGTGGTACATAAATAAGTAGATACCTCATCAAGCTACATATCTCCAAATAACACTTCTATGTACTGCAGTTACCTCCTTCTCACTTTCATTGATTTAGTCTTACAATTAATATCCACATTATAATAGATGATGCTATTGTTCAGCTATACTAAATGGAGATATTCCACCAATGCCATTTTATATGGCATCTGCTGAAGCACGAATAAATTTAGTCTAACCTTTGCTGCATTGTACTAAGTTCTTCCCAACTTGTTCTAAACTTCATAAACCTCGTAAGGCACATAAAAACTCCTAATTTTAAACACACTTTACCACATATCTTGCTAAAGTAACTTGATTCCAACGCATCATTTTAAAATATACAATACCCTAAAAAATGGCATGTAAATAGCAAACAGACATCATTATCACACATCAATTTAGAAAACAATTGCTTTACTTACTATCAGAGAAGTTAGACGCGAGCACGCAAATAAAAACCTATTTATCAACATACCCATGCTACTGGCAACACAATTGACATTACTGATATTGGCTATTCATTAAAACATTAAAATAAAAAAAAAGGAGAGAGAGGAAAAGGTTCTTAAAATTTAGAATTGCATATGGGTGTACAGCCAGGTAGTGATGTCACTGCTACAAAATATCATATTAAATCCCAGAAAAGTTCATTAGTCAGACAAATCCCATCACCAGAAAATAATGAGCGGTGGCAAATGTTCTCACAGAATTGAACAATGCATATATAATTATATAAACTGTTATACAGTTATAATCTGGCATTGAAGATAACACTAACAGAGGTTTACATGCAGGTTACTGCATGCTACAATTGCATATTACTATATGAGACATTTTTACTGTGCTGTTTGGGTATCAGGGAGAAATACTCTGGAATTTAATATCTGAAGTCATTAGAAATGACTTTTTTCCATAAAAGCAGCTAATTAAACACAAAAAAATCTTTTTGAATAACAGCCATTTTTATACAAATTCTAATGAATTTAAGACAAGTTCTTTGGCAGAGTAACTGTCGCTGTCAGCTTCTAATCTAGAACATTATTTGGCTTACAGCACCACTTTTAAATTACGTAGTTTTCCTTTCTACATGCTTCCCTTGATGCACCTTAAGATCTCTTATTTATCCTTCAGTGGAAATACAATCTATGTATAAAACAAGGAAAACTCTCTCACATCCATCAGCTGCAAGCACACCTTCCAACATTAAAAACTATTTTTAGATTTCTGTATTTCTTTACCATGTTTAAGCAACTCCCTATTACATGTCCTTGCTTTTTAAGCATTTTTCAAGAATGAATAACTTCTGTATTAAGTCATTTGAGTCTAAATGTAAATTTGTTACCAATGTTCATAAACCATAAAACCAGTTCTTTAAGGAAGGAAAGCTTTTGACATGTTAACCCAACTCACTCTACATAATTTTAAAACACAACTCTAATTACTACTAATTTCTACTTAGAAAATCGCATGATTGGCATGTAATACCTAAATTGTCTGTTTCCGGAAAAAAGAATGCAACCAGTGTTTTGCAGAACACAATAGCTATAATTAATACAATTCTAGAAGTTGAAAATCCCATGTGTAAAAAGGATTAGTATTGGAAATAATGTAATGTATTTGGAAACAGAACAACGAAAGAAAAATATTATAGACATTTCAAATATAAAATATTCCAAAACCAGCTAATTAAGGCTGCCACTTACTTTAGTGAATACAGACCATTTACTAACTGTTATCTGTTTCAATAGAATTCCTGAGCTACCTCATTAGCGCAACTGGAAGATTTTTTAAACTAGTAATAATTAAATACTGGGTAATTTGTCATGTGTGCCTTGGTTTGATAACAGCCTCATCGGCCTTTTTACTTTGTATTGAATTATGGCATACTATTATGTGCACTTCACTTATTAAAAAAAAAAAAATCACAAGTAATCTCCTCCTTTACCATCATCTTTTTGCAAATACAAGAAACTTGTGACATAAAACTGATGTATCTGATGATTGTTCCTTCTTGCATATAGTATGCACAAGCCTTCCAGGGTTCCAAGATCTTACATTTCCTGTAGCTGGAGCGTTTTGTTTTTCAGCTTTTATTTTAGGCGACAAATGGTATGCCAGTAGCACTACGATGCATTTTAAAAGGGCTGAAGCTACTTCCTAGCTGAAAGAGTACTGGCCAAAAACAAATCTAGTATTACCTAGACACTTTTTATTATCAGTTTTTATGCAGTCCTATGACGAGTTAATAGACTGAACATACAATGCATAAGGCTTAGCTATTTTTTCTGTCTTCCTTGTTGCGTTTGATGAATAGCATCATAAACATGAAAAGTCTTCCTGAGCTTTCTCTCAACTTATCAGACACATGTTCTGATACTCAAAACATGCCGTAAAACTTACTTTTTTTCCCACAGATGGGTGATTTAATAAAATTTAGACTTCTTTTATATTTAACTGATTTAATCCTTAACCTTATGGAAACAATACAATATAGCTATTTTATACAGGATCAAGTAATATAAAAAAAAATATACCTGAGCTCAAGCTTTCCCACTAAAAACATTTAAGGGTCATCTTCAATAGGTCGTCCTTGGAGTAGAATCATTTCTGAAACTTTCCTCAAGGGACTTTCTTCAAATAACAGATTCTACTATTTTAAAACACATTTTCCTACTGTCTCTCAATTATGTGCCTAGGCTAAACATGAAATCAAAATTATTCAGAATCATCCTTGCATTTCAATCTGTACATACGAACTCACTATCCTTTATTTTCCACGTCCTTGCTTCTGTTGGTGAACAGACTTCAATGGGACTTTGACAACAAAGTTCCTCCAGACCAACAATACTCCACAGGTGACTCAAGGTCTTAACATCTATTTTCACAACTCTTTTAGTGTAGCAGGAAAAGACAGGAGCTCCCAGAGGCTGGAAAGATGCTGGGGGAATACGGGTCTACAACCTTTAACAGAATCTACGTATAGGTAGACTACAGTCTTCTACTGATTGTAAGTGAATGAATAACCGACTTCACACTGGCAAAGCATATGTCACATCCCCCTCTAGTGCCCAAGCTGCATCATAGCCTAGTTCTGTTCCCCCTCCGCCCCACCCCATTCCAACAGCTCAAGGGTCAGAGACGGCTCTTGCAGTCTAAGTATCTGTGTCCTGATAACACAGCTGTGGCCAATGTGAGTCAATACAATAAAATGAAGTTGGGGGCGGAGGGGGGGGGGGGTCAGCTCTCTTTTAAAACAGGAAAAGACATTTAAACCTCTACATTAAAGTTGTATTAAACTTATATTAAAGCTATAAAGTCAAGTTCTCACATCAGACAATTTCAGCTGGACAAGTATATTAGAATTGCCCCCTTGTGCACATTATGTTACTTCAATTATTGTGAAATACCATGGGATTGGTGTAATTTATGCCTGCATTGCAACATATATGCACAAGGGGTAGTAAATTTATCAATGTATCCTTGAATTCTATACATACTTGAATTATGTCCCTTCCTACTATGACCATGCAACCTGCATTAACTTTCAGTATAACCTTAAAGTTTTCCTTCATATACACAATTTCTGTTTGGATTGTTGGGTATTAAAATAGTACTATTGTTTGGAGCATGAGGAAAAAGAAAAATCTAATTTATAGCAAATTTTCATGTTAGAAAGTGAAATGTATGGAAGCTAACATATTGCATATATATTGCTTTATCTCAGTACCTGTGAAAAAATTTCACAGCTGCTGAAGTAAGAGTCCAGTGAAGTATAATGTTTGGAAAATATTTTCTGTTGCACCATTTATCTTTGCCATCACAGCACACAACTTGATACAGTAGAAGGCACTAGTATATTACAGAATTATTCTAAACCTTAAAAAGACAATGTCAACTCATAATTGTATTAAATTATTAGGAGTTACAATTATCTTGAATTAAAAAAAGACGCACGCCAATGAGGAAAAACAGTCACCATAAAAATTACAAAGATTACCTGCCAGCTTTATAACCCTATATGCAACCTTTATATCTTTACATGTAATTTAACAAGGGGAACATTTTGCTTCCTACTCCTACTGGGGAGTCTTCAAAACGCTCTCAGGTGAGGACAGACAGCAAGGAGCAGATTCTCTTTGTAAATTCTATAATTAGCAAAACAACTTTCCAGCACTTCATAGGAAGAGGGATGCCCCTGTCTTTCCCTCCATAGTCATAGTCCTTTGCTTTGTGTTTATCACCTGGCACTTACACTCCAGGAATTTTATGGGCAGCTACACGTTTCAGTTTATTGTCAATACCCAGAGTAAAGGGCAGTGAAGAAGGCAAAAGGAGAAAGATTGAGTATGGTTAGGAATTGCCAGCTCAGACTGTAACTAAAATTGTGTGCGTTTCTGAAGGATTCTTCAGAATCCACTGGATTTTGAGGAGCTTCCAGAATACAGCTGCACTGTATGATGCACCTCAGAACATAGATATCTGAAATACTCAAATACCATATAATACAATTACTACAGCACACTGCATAATTTTGCTCATTCAAGAGAAATGAAAAGGAGAACACAAGACTAACCTAGACCATTCCAAGTTTGGTACTAATACTGCATCCCAGAGGTTACTGGATCTAAATCTAGCTTGGCTATCTCCCTGCTCAAGGTCATCAGCCACTATTAATGAACCCTAAGAGAAAGAGGACGATTGGAACAATGGTTGAAAACAATGGGTAGAAAACGTCAGTAATGGTGAGGAAGCCAACGGAATTTAAGTTTTATTAGTCACTACTAGTCACTACTTCTGCAACATGATAGAATACGGGGCACTCACCATACCATTACTAACTCACCATATCATTACCAACTTTTTTTTCAAATGGTACATTTTCACTTTGTGATAACTAAAGCATATGAGCTAACACAAAGGGATGGATGAGTGAGCTCACGGGGGGAAAAAAAAATCAAAAACAAAAACAGCATCCAAGAACCAATAACGACAGAACTAAGTAAAACGTTAGCTTTACTTAGGTGCAAGTAAAAGTCAATGTGTCCTGTCCACCACTTTTTTTTTAATCTACTTTTATTTTCTGAAGCCATAAAGGTAAATTATCAGTCTGCAAAACACCAATGTAAGGAGTGACTAGAAGGTTTTAGTGTAAACCTCTACATGCTTTTTGTTACAAGCCTGCTTTTTGTAAGCATAGGGTTTCTTTTTTAAAAAAATTATATTAAAGCTGCATTTCATGGTTAAGCATAATTGATTTGGAATTGTTCTGCAACTTAAGAATCTTGCATGTTCGCCTAATTACTGAGCTGATTCTGTAGATATACGTATGAGTTTAATGTCAGATGAAGCTCTGTAAAATGCAGGCTAGAAAAAAAGAGGTAACGACAGCATAAGCTACTTCTTCGTGGTCACTTGAATACTGAACCTCAGTTTTACTAACACAGCCCTTTGTTTTGCTAATTGTTGCTACCTCTTTTTCTGTTAGCACAGCTATCTAAGCAGTATTTTATTCATTGAGATTGATTCCCTTATCTAGCTGACCACGAAGATGCGTAAATATTCACAGCACTAGTAACACCAAATTTTTTGTTTCTAAACAAAAAAAAACCCTAGTAAACAATCTTTTTTAAAAAGTGGAAAAGTGAGTGCTGGCTTGGAAATCTAGAATGCACTAGGAGACCAGGAACCGATGGGGAAAAAGACAGACTCTGTAAGGAAACAACAGTACCTAAACTAGCTTAATATGAAATTACTGCCTGAAGCGTTACAGCAGCAATTTAGAAGTAACAACGTTCAGGTAATATTATTCAGACCCTCCTCAGTTTTGAATATTTTGCCTCCTCCCCACATAACCTGAAAGAAAAGGCCCTCAAGAATAGGCAAATAAAAGCATTGGTACACTTAAAAATAAATCTTGTTCTACTAAAGAGGTAGAATTGTGCATGGAAAAACCAACTCACGATAGCTTACTCTGGTGTCTGAACACGTTATGCTTACCACAGTTACTGTATTATTTTAGGTAAGATAAACCGTAGACTTCCATCCAAAAATAATTTCATACCCGCTGCTCCGCTCCTGGGTTTTAGACTCCTTGAACTTTAAAGTTCCTGAGTATTAAGCTCAGCCTTGCTGATCAGTCAGCCTCCCTAGGTTCCTGAGACAAGAAGTGTCATCACCCAAACGTGCTGGATGCATACAGCTGACAGACAGACCAGGGCCTGGGGAAAGGAGACCCACACTACTCCACCTCAGGGCACGCCCTGGGCCCAGCAGTCAGACCGCAGTAGTCAAGGCAAAAAGAGGAAAGCAGCAGCTCAACCTGCAACCGTGGCAACAGCATTCTCAAGCAGCACTAACAATTTTAAGCAACTCAAAAGCCCCTTTAAGCTTTCCTGAGATTCCTCAGATAATCAAAGGAAAAAAACAATGAAATTCAGAGTACAATATCTTCATTTGAGAACCAACCCAAAATGTAGAGGTTTCCCCATAAGAAAAAGTTGGAAGTTTTGTGCGTGTGGGTGTTTTGGGGTTGCTGTTTTTATACCACAGGTCAACTTTCTAAGTCACGCCCTGCAGCCTCGCTTTCTCCCGCCCCTCCCAACGCAGACCACTGCGGACTGCCGTGCGCTC